AGCTAAGATATGGAACCAACCCAGATGCCCCTCAGTAGATGAATGGATCAAGAAAATGTGGTATATATACACAATGGAATTCTATGCCTCCATCAAAAAGAATGACATTGCCCCATTTGTAAGGAAATGGAAAGACTTGGAAAAAATTATATTAAGTGAAGAAAGCCAGGCCCAAAGAAACATAGGTCCCATGCTTTCTCTTATTTGCAATAACTAGTATATGTCTGAGTCAAGCAGAAAAGATCAGATAAGTTGATGTTAGGGAAATGAACCCTAAGATAAGTATTCAAATGTTTTTTTTCTTTCATACGATTGTTTCTAACACATTTATAAGATTTCTTTATTGCTTTGTATGTCCCTCCCCCATGGTATAACCCCTGTTTTCATAGTATTTGATGTTGTTATAATTTGTGGAAGGGAAGGGAAAAAACAAATCGTTTAACTAGGGATACAGGTGGACCCATTGCAACAATGAGATGTACAAGTTGTTATGCCGAAAACAAACTTTACAACTTTGGTGTGGGGGAGGGGAGGATTGGGTAGGGGGAGGATAGGAAGGGATGGGAAGGGGAAACAAAGGAGGCTACAATACTTGATAAGAAATGTACTTATTATCTTGCCCGTGTAATTGTAACCCCTCTGTACAGTCTCACAATAAAAAAAAAAGAATATAATGAATTCAAGTCCTAAATGTAAAAGGGAAGAAAAATGTAAATGAATACAACCTGCTTTAGCAAAGTCTCAGAGGCTTTGTAAAGCTATTCTTTGGTTGTTGTTGTTGTTGTTGTTTTTTAATCTTGTGGTGGAAGGACTGAGTGTGTACATTGTGTGAGCAAAACAAATTTTATAAGATCAAATTTTATCAAAATCGTTTTCTAAGCAAGGTCAGTTTCATTTGTTCTGTCAAATTCTAACCTAAAAAGACAAAGAAATAATTTTTTTAGTTGTCATTCTAAATAATCTGACTTTTCAAATTCCAAGTAAACATCCCTTAAAAATTACATTGTATGATGCTTTCTTATACATTTTTAAAGGTGAGCATATTATGCCAGGAATAGCATTTCGTTTATTTTTCTACCAATAATGTTCCTATAGCAACAAATTCAACTCATAAATTCTTTTTTAATTCAGTGTAGTAAACTGACAAGTTTAAATTATATCTGCCAGTTTCACTTCTCCTAGTGCCCCCTTGAAGAGCTTTCTAGTACTATAGAAAGTATACTACATCACAGCATTTTAACCTCTAAAGTAATTTTTAAAAATCAAATCTAGTTAATAAAATTCTATGGTAATCTTACTAAAAAGGGAAAAAGGGAGGGAGGGAAGGAAAGGAGGGAGGGAAGAAAGAAGGAAAGAAGGAAGGAAGGGAGGGAGGGAGGGAGGGAGGGAAAGAGGAAGAAAGGAACTATTAGTTGAGCTACAGTGCCTAATCTTTTTGCTTTTTAGTTATTTTTCAAACAGGGGCCTGTGTTTATGACCTAGCTGGCTTAGATAGTGATCCTCCTATTTTTGCTTCCAGTAAAGCTGGTATAACAGACACATGCCACGTGAACAGCAAGATGGAGTCTCAGAAAGTTTTTACTCATGGTCCTCTTGACATGCACTCCCTGAATAGATGGTATTAAGCCAGCTGACATTCTTTTTTATACTGTGTTTCTAAAATGTTGTCCTAGATCTCCAGTGATTAGAGACACTTCAGATTGAATGTGGTTAGAAGATGCAGAAGCAAGTGGTTCCACAGGGTAGTGGCTCCATTGTTTCTCTCTGCCATTGCAACCTGGGTAGACTTCCAGGATAATACCTTCATCGTTCTATTTGTTTAGAAGTCTGCTTACTAAGGAGGCTGGAAAATTTTTGTAGGCAGTGCCACACCTTGTTCCTCTGAGTTTCCCCAACACTTTTTGGCACATAAAAAACACAAAATAAATATTTGAATGAATGTATAAATGAATGAATAAAATAACCACCCAGTTAATATAATCTCTGAGGTCAATAACCTGAACCTTTTTTTTCTCCAACATGAAACTCAGTGAAAAGACTGTAACCAGTGATTCCATGTTTCAAAACCAAGTTGTTTTATCTGTGTAGAAGAAATAGCTGCAAAACAAACTATTAAATGAATTTGGGACAGTCTTTCTAAATTTCCATTGCTCAATGAATGCCAAAAAACAAGTCTTGCTAATAGCTGATAGGAGAAAAAAAGGAAGTCCTAAGGAATGAGGATTGTAAATAAGAAGGGAGGTCCCCTTCTGTGTCTATGAGATAATAAGAGATTCATGTACTCATTGCAGACAGGGAAATCTCTTGTTATGGTTGTAGATGATATTATTTTAATGTCGTTTTCCTTTCTACTGGAGGGCCCTTACAGGTGAGGGGAAAGTGAAAAACAGAGATGTAGAGGGGGAAGACAAATTTTTGATGCAGTTGAATGATTAAAAAAAAAAAAGGGAAGTGTATTCCATGTTATTATATGCAAATGAGCTGTTTTCATTCCAATTTAAAAGGAGGCTTGATTTTAAAGTCTATCATTTGTCAGCTAGTAGATATTTTTATTCTGCCTTTTCTTCTTTCCATACCCACTGTTCTACATGCTTTGATTTCTAAACTGTCTTACATATAATCCCTGAAATAAAAATGTATACTATGTATATCAATTTACAGTTACCCCTATAACTATTTTTGTGTAGCTTAGAAAACAACTCAGTGGGTATATATACTTAAATTATCACCACACAAGTCTGAACTATAAATAATAAGTTTTCTACCATGCGTGGAGTTTGGCAGATGCAGGCATCATTTAACCAGTGCAGAAGGCTTACATTTTCTGAACCAACACTTGGTACTCATAAACTGACAACCATGAGTAATATTTATGGGATGATGCATGAGAATATCTGAAATTGGAACAACTTGGGAAAATCATGATGCTAAAGCAAGCAGGTTGAGTGAGGATGCAAAGGAGAGTAGTTTAAGGGTCTGGTTCTAGGCATAAAACACCAAAACATACCAGAATAGATGGTGGCGTTGAGTGAAAACTTGAACTTTGGGTGTTTAAAACTGAGTCTTCTGTTTGTGGAAGCAAAACTCCTCTCACTGAGGAAGAAATATTAAAGAACATCTTTAGTTGAGACATTGATTTATTTGAGGTACAAGAACAACTGAAAACTAATTTTTTTCTTCATTGTAAGTTAGATTTATGCGGAACATCTGAGGAAGACTCGCCTAGAAAAATGTTTATGATGTTTAAATATTTTATGTATTTTAGCAAAGTTGGTCTGAATTATAAGAATCCCACATAAGATAAAGATTCATGTCAATGAATCAAAAAAGGGTTTTTTTCTAAAGGCACAGTTTTCACTCTTTAATTTCTATAAAATTTTTAGTTTCTATCAAATCTTTAGTTTCTATAAAACTGTTGTTTTCAATTTGAATTTTCATTTTAGGGAAGAAAGCTGAACCAAATTTTAACTCATTTAGTCAATACAAAACTGGTAGAAAAGTATATAAAATTATTCCTTTTCTTGGCAAAAAGAGTCATTGAAAAATGAATAAGGAAACCAAAAACTTTTGTCACTATGATAATGTTAAAGATTAATAACGAAAAGCAAGTCGTCTATATAATCTAGTTCAACAAACATTTACTGAATCGTAACTAATTACCAAAACTTTGCCAAAGTTGGAACTATAAACATGAACAATACCAAGTTTCTTGTCTGGAAGCATTGCCTCTATTAAAAAGATAGCTTCTGCACACAATCTAAAACCTAACATATATACCTGCAGCCTAATTCAGTATGTGACCAGGATGAAAACTTAAGAATGTGCTTAGTAATATACAAGTGAATGCCATTCTATCACAACAGCTCAGTTCATCAAGCTAGGTATAAATAAGCCAATTGATCTGTCTCTGTATCTCATTCTCATTTTCTCAGTACAAGTATTACGCAGCCACCTAGTAGCTTCAGATTCTTCCAGAGACAGCATGACTTACAAATCAGTCTTTGCTCAATTAAACTGTTCGATTTAATTAAAGTTGTCTTGCTGGGTGCTAGTGGATCACAACTATAATCCTAGCTACTCAGGAGCCTGAGATCTGAGGACTGCAGATCCAAGCTAGCCGGAGCAAGAAAGTCCTTTAGACTCTTATCTCCAATTAACCACCAGAAAGCTGGAAGTGGCACTGTGGCTCAAAGTAGTAGGACACTAGCATTGAGCAAAAGAGCTCAGGGAGATTGCTCAGGCCCTGTGTTCAAACCCCACAGCCAACAAAAAAAGAAAAAGAAAAAAGTTTTCCTTTAAACAAAGAATAGGAGCTTTTTCCTCTTAAGAATATGTGGGTGGGTGATTAAGAAACTAAAAACCTCACATTGCTAGGCTTGCCTCTTACATTTGTAGCAGCTGGTATTTCTCTCCTACCCTCACATTAGTAAAATATATTGTGCTGGAAGTTTTAAAAGCTAACCTACAAGTACATGAAGAAGTCATAGAAAAGTCAACACAAAGTAGCAAGTAACTTGGGGTACTGTGTTCCTGAAGAGTTAAAATGTGCCCCAGTAGTGCAGCAATATGCAAGCCTTAGTCTGGGTTGACTGGAAACCCTTTTACTCTCCAAATTCAGAGGTCACCATCTTGATAGCTCCAGACCTAACTGTGCATCATGAACCATAAGTAGTCAACACAGCTATGTGAATTCATACTTAGTACTTTGGAATTCCACCCTGCACCCAATTCTTTGATCAAGACCATCCATCTGCTTTCTGCAGCTGTTCTTCCTCTGTGCTCTTGCGCTTTTAACCCATAAGCAGCTGACTTTCCTCTAGAATTTGTGTCTTGGTTGCTTGATGCAAAATAGCCGTTTCAGTTCACACTTCAGGCTCCAGTTTCTTTCTCTTATACTTTCCTCTTGCTTCTTCAAACTATTTCTAAATGCCATGATATTCTCCACTTTTCCCACTCTGTCTACAAATATTCCAAGAGCCCAAAATAGCTTTATGTATAAAGCTCCACATAGATCAGGCAGGTTCCTGTCTCTTACAGTCCAGGGATGCTCAGGGCCACATAGGGAATTAAGGAAATTAGTTTTGTTTTGTTTTTGTTTTTGTTTTACCATAGCATATTAGAAAAGAAACTACAATGATACCAGGACTTCATGATGGATCTCAAACTCACCATTAATAAGCTGAAGAGACTCAGGATCAGGATTCAAGGAGGAATTCCCCAGCAAAAAGTTCTGGTGCAGTGTCTCAGCAATATAATCTCTGAAGTTACTAATTGTATAAACAGCAGTGGGTTTATCATCCATTTCCACAAGGCCGTGGTTTTCCACCTTGTTGGAGTGAAGGCTAATTAGGTCCCATGTGGTATTGCTGATGGCCTCAGCATTGAAGGTAACTGTGTAGAGAACATCTATACCACTGTGAATGAAAATGGAAAGATGAGGCCCAACTAAGAAAGCACAAAGAAAGTAGTTTGACATCTATAGACATCCAACATTAGACCTAGACTGGGAGTCTTAAAAGGCCTGGATTCCATCTACATTCTCTGAAAATTCTAGGTGGCCTTTTTCCAACTCCTCCTCCTTCCCAGAGAACAGGGAGTCGTAGCTCAAACATATAGTAAAAACTCTACAGAAGCCACATCAACCTAAAAAAGACTCAGAACTATCTGAATCTTTTGGTCTCCCACATTCTCAACTCTTCTTTCCTCTTTCAAAGCTAACTCCTTTCTCTTCCTTAACAGCCTTCTTTTTCTTCTTTCTCCATTATTATTTCTCCTATCTGATGTAAAACCTGAGAAATCTGCTCATTTGTTTATTACTCTAGTTGGAAGTGTCATAAGGTATAGTTAAAAGATTTGTTTTTCCATAATAAAGATGTGGTAGACCAGGATTTAAACACAAATCTGACCCCAGCACCTGTATTCTGAACTACTATCAGACATTTCTATTCATTTAAGTCACACTGTTATTAGAAACAGTCATTACGATGACAGCTCTGTGCTTTGGTCTGTCTCGACACACAGCCATCATAGGCAACAGCCTGCAAGGCACACCAAATCCCTCCACAGGAAAAGATAGGCTGCTACCTTCCAAAGATTAAACACCCACAGCAGATGAGAAACGGAAGCAATTTGCTTTTTCAGTCATTTCACAGCAAATATCTAAGCCTAAAAATATTAAATGGATCTTTTTTTGGACATATATATTCTGATTACTACTGCCATCCTGAAATACCTCTAAGAGATTCCTAGTATCCAGTAAATAAATAGACATCTATACTTGCCTGAGTATAAAAAGACAACTCAGACTAATCAAATTATTGGTGACATCTAAAGAACAAGTATCCGCAAAATAAGGATGAAATCTTGGAGTCGAACGAAAAAATAAGTCTGGTCAATAATTTATGTTACTGTCTAGTAAAATTGTATTGGGCTTTTTTGTGAGCTAAATCCTTAGGCTGAAGACAGATGATATCAAGCTACCCTGTTTTAATGAGAAGGGTCACTGAGATCATCTATCTTCATTTTCTAATTTCAAGCTTTCCAAGGTGACTTTTGATTATAACACCTTACAGACTCATCCATGGAGAGAGAATGCATGAGTCAGCCAATGTAGTAATTGAACATTTGACAGATGGATTTTTCATTTTAAATAGATCAATGGGTATCCTTTATGCTATTTTATAGTCTGAGAAGCTAGAATTTGTCTTAAAAGAGCCCCCCACACACACACACACTTTTTTAAAAAATTATTTTAGTTATTTTTTTTTTGGCCAGTCGTGGGTCCTGAACTCTGAGCCTGGGTGCTGTCCCTCAGCTCTTCAGCTCAAGGCTAGCACTCTACCACTTGAGCCAGCCACAGCACCACTTCTGGCCTTTTCTGCTTATGTGGTGCTGAGGAATTGAACCCAGGGCCTCATGCATGCAAGGCAAGCACTCTACCACTGAGCCACCTTCCTAGCCCCCCACACACTTTTTTTGTTCCTGGGAACATAGGCTAGTTTTTATCTGGCCTCGCCTGCATTGGCAGATAACACTGAACTATAGGTGATTCCATGAAGGTGACACATCTAACAGCTATATACACAACCACATTATCTTATGCTCCTGCCCCTATTAGCATAGAAAGGCTTTTATTTAAATCAGACAGGAAAAACACTGAGTCACTTCAACATTGCTTTCCTCCTAGGGGTGGGGCTTAGAGTTATTAAAAGTAATTGGCTGGTATTCTGACAATCTGATGCTTTGGGTGGTAAAAACATCTTCTTGGGCTAGGAAGGTGGCTCACTGGTAGAGTGCTTGCCTTGCATGCCTGAGGCCCTGGGTTCAATTCCTCAGCACCACATAAGCTAAAAGAAAAAAGCCGGAAGTGGCGCTGTGGCTCAAGTGGTAGAGCGCTAGCCTTGAGCTGAAGAGCTGAGGGACAGCGCCCAGGCCCAGAGTT